ACAACCAAAGTAATAAACAATGTGAATTTAAATCTGGTATTGTGTTGAGGATACTGTGTATGTTGCCATTTTGAAGGAAGGAGATTTAAGAATCACTTCCAAATATATTTTAATTGATCTGATGTTCAGTTATGAAATGTTTGTTGCCCTTGTCCATCTATGACCTTTGAATTTGAGCCTTAAACTCTCTTGACACTTCATATGACATTCTTTCGGGTATTTAAACTGATTGAGGCTGTTTTAGAGTTTTTCCCTTAAGTTCCAGATGCATCTCATTGGGTTCACATTCTTTGGTTTTTCGTTGGCTTTGAAGGTTTTCTTTGAATTCGGGCCCTGTTTGCAACGGCTTCTTATAAATTATATTGTATTAATTTCTAATGTTCTCCAATGTTTATTTTAGCTAGGATTGCACCACTTTTTCTTGCGATCTTGTCGTGGATGGTGCTGTCCTCGAAATTGTCGCCAAGATTTTTTGATTCAGGATTCCTCATAGGGCCATTTTAGAGGCTTTTAAGAATCTGATGAAGGATTTTAGATCATACCAACAGAGGGCAAAGATTTATCATTTAATGGTTCGTTATAGTTCTTCAATGTGTCATTTATGTCATGGTCCTCCAAAATAAAAGAGAACTTATCATAACACAATAATTATTACCAATTTTTCCAAAAGCCAGCCTAGATTCTCGAAAAAATTGAAGGGTCAAGGGACAAAAAGTAGAACTGGAAATTAATAAATAAATTGACATTTAGCCCCTGGTTGACATCTATTAAATCAAAACTTTTTTTTCCACTCACTTTCAACCACACATTCATTAGTAATAAAATATTTTGCACGTAAACATGAACTATTTTCTTACTTTATAACCATGTATTCTCCCAAAAAAAAAAAAAAATGCTATTCCAAAACTAATTTTCCTCAAACACACATTAAAATGGATTTCAAACAAGGCTTTACAGATATTTAAAATTAAAATTTACACCAATTAAAAGTATTCTAAGACTCATTATTTAAATATTTAGTACTTATTTCAATGCCCATTTACCATGAAATATAAACTAAATGGGACAAAATACTCAATAAGGCTATGACCATCCACGTAAAGCTCACAAAACCCCTACCACATGTGATACTTCTTCTTATTGCCTATTCATATTTCAGATCCCTAACATCTTTCCTGCTCTCATTGATGGCTCCTGTGGTTCGAAGAAGTCATTTCTCTGTCACGCGTGCTTATGTATTGATGCAAAAGTTTTATTTTTTTGTAATGTTATTTTAGATTTTTGTTGTTCTGTTGACACCATGGGCAAGGTCTTTGAGAGAAAATGGTGATCAACCATCAAACCCAACATAACAGTGTCAGGGTCACCTGTTCCTGGATAAACTGGCTGATTTACCAGATTTTGTACCGGTTTTTATATATTTGTTTTTATCCCTAATACCAGAGCGGATTTCGATGAGGTTTTAGTTTTCCTGGTCGAATCCTGTCCGGTTTGAATTTGTCACACTTTTGGGTAGCGCTTCTGGATAATGGGATAATAAGATCTTAAGAGCTGATTTGAATTGTTACCCTTGCATGAATAAGGGTTAGATATTTTATTGTGAACACTGGGTCTGGTAACGGTTTTTTTTCTTTGTATGGTAATTACTTTTTGTGACTTAATTGCATTGTTACTTTAGTTAAGAAGTTGAATCATGAATAAACTGATTATAGATTGAATAACCTGTTTTCAAAAGGATGCAAATGGAGGAAACAATGCTCCTTGGAGTACTCTTGCTGTAATATTTTTAAAAAACAAAGTCAGGTTCTTCCGAGTTGGCCACTATTTGTTGAAGATCATATGTTAACGAAATATACAACTTGGTTGAAGGTTGTAGAAAAATGTAAAAATGGTCACTGGCTTAATTTTATAAGTATGTTGCATATAATGGTGGCATCTTATCTCTCCGTCTCTCATTCCTCTTGCTTTATCTCCTTTTCTGAGTCTGCAGTTTGGTTCCATATTCTGCTTTACCCATCATGTTGAGTTCTTAAGAGTGCTTACTTTACAGGTGAGGGGTGGACAACTATGGGGAACAGATATATACACGGTTGACTCTGATCTGGTGGCTGGTATGATTTTTGGTCTACATTATAAATTTCATTGCATACATGACCCAAAGCTACAGATGGAATGTAATGTGTTCCCTGTTCAGTTCTTATGCATACAGGTTACTGTCGCCCAACTGCTTCTCCTCCTCCATCTGCAGCTCAGGAGCTGCGTGCTACCATCAGAGTTTTACCCCCACAGGATTGTATGTCCATATAATATTCAGTCTTTAAAGAAATGCTTAATACTTTAAGAAAAAGATTTCCTGTAATAGGTTTCAAGACTATCCTAGTAGATTTCATGCATGACTTCCCATTCCATCCTCCCTGGTAATTGGTAATTAATTCAAAAGTACAAAGGGATGAGAGGTTCGTGCCACACGCACATCAATTATAGACCAAATAACTAGTATGCTAACCTTGATGCCAAGCCAAAAGTAGCTATATGTTTTAAACAATTCCTTTTGCTACCATCTTTCTTCTTCTGTTTGATTCTCTGATTAATTAGTCTATTCAAAAGTTGATAGTTAAAAGTGGCAGGAGCCATTTCTATGGGTTCTAGACTCAGATTATTTTTCAGGGCTCCCTTAAAGTTTCATGGTATCTGTCTGTGTATATTGATATGTATGCTAATTTATCTTGTCATAACATATTATCAATTCATGAGCAGTGAATCCACTGTTATTGTGTGCATGTTTTTCACCCTTCTGTTGTGCCTGTCTTAAAAAGTACATCAATACCTCTTTTAACTAAAGGCTGTTTGAATTCTAGCAAAAAAATATCATGTATGACACCAATGCTTAGTTTTGATATTCATTCTCTTTTGATGCAAGTTATATTTTGTGCTTTTAATTTGTATGTTATTGTGCGTACTCTTTAAGGTTACATTTCTACACTGCGAAATAATGTCCGCTCACGTGCATGGGGTGCTGCCATTGGTTGCAGTTATCGTGTTGAGCGATGTAGCATTGTGAAGGTGAGCAATATTTTCAATTCACTTTTTTATTTTCTCGTTGTTTTGTTTATCCGTTAAATGCTTTTAAATGTTGACAATCGGAATTCATGTGTTCTTTCATATCCTTGGAGAATGTTTTGATCTACCTTATGATTGCTGATACGCGATTTGCCATTAAATATTACAATCTTACTACATTTACACTCTTCCTTGCATCTTTCTTTACACTCTACCACATAGCAACATCTACACTCTTGAATATGAACTCATCCATCATATCACTGCACAGATTTCCTCTACATAGGGGGGAATGTTAACCAAGTTGTCATGGTTGATGTACATTTAAGCATTATTTTAAGTATTATATCCTACATGCCTTTCTGAGTTGTCTTTATTTTCCCTTTTACATGTGGATTGATTTTGGTGGCTCTCTTTTTAATATGACATATATTGATCTTTGCATGCTTGTGCAGAAAGGAGGTGGAATCATAGATCTTGAACCTTGTCTCACACATTCTTCTACTTTGGAGCCTACTCTTGCTCCAGTGGCTGTGGAGCGCACAATGACTACAAGGGCTGCTGCTTCGGTATTTTCATTACTGATACTTTTTGCATGCGTACGCACTTGGGTGCACACAGATGCAAGCTCACTTGGAATTTCTCCCTCTAATTCATTCATGAGTTTCTATACTCTATTTTTGATATTAGGTTTATAATCAGATACAAAATCCAAATTTTATTGATACTTGGCCTTAAGTGTTTATTGCTAGATTACACACTCCTAAACTTTGTCTCAACTCTGTATACTTTCCAGTTTCATACACAGTAACTATTATGATTCTCTAATTAGATGTAGGATCTTATGTATTGTTTCCTCGCTTTCTTCCATGATTTTACAATAAATTAATTTCCCAAATCTGTATGTAGAAACTAGCACTTCTTTATTATATAGTAATCCTATTGTCCATTTTTTCAAACCAGAAGCTTATTATCTCATAAATCCCTTCTAAACTTCAAAATCAATGTTTTCTGATGATGTAGCTGTTTCAGATTTGCATGTTCTTTTCACGCGTTTTGCTTACCAGGGTGGGTGTGGGGGCTTCTGTTTGGAAAAAGGATGCTATGTTTCAATTTCACTTGGGAATATATTTTCAAGTTTCATGGAGCAAAGTTTCAAGGTCCTTTCGCTTTTCATATTAGTCAAGCCGCATGTTGAAAGTCTTTGTGTTTATTCTCCATCTTCCCCAAAACTGTCACTTTTTAAAATAATGTGGCTTGAGGGTAGACATAGGGACCCTATTTTCATGATTACAAATGATGGATACGATTGCTATTGTTGCTCTGGTTTGTGCTGTTCATTAAACAGTGTTGGAAATTATGGATATTTCATATTGTATTTTCTCTCTCTAGAATGCCTTACGTCAACAAAGGTTTGTACGTGAAGTCACGATACAGTTCAACCTTTGCATGGAACCTTGGTAAGTGTTTTACTTTTTTTAAGAGTAGGTCATTGCCTGCTAAATTTGTCTGTCCTAATTTATATTTGAATTCAAAGTTTACAAGTGGTTATTTGTGGGAACTCTTTTTTTTTTAAAATGCAAGTTTCTGGTTAGTTGCCATGCTTCTACTGTTTGTTTGTGGAAATTAGTAATTTTGTTGAATTAGGAGGGTAAAGAACAATGGAGGTCATCAAACTATTAGCAAGACAATTGGGTCACTATACTTAATTTCACTATTGCATTAATGTACTCGAACAGTTGTTACATTTGGGTCACTATGTAGTGGCTTGCCGGTCTAGTTAGTAAAAATGCTGTTGACATGTAATGACCCATGGGCACATTATCATGTCCATGGTACAATTCAATGACTTCCAGTATTTTACCCAGATTAGTATGATTAATCCTTGGGTTACAATGGAAGGTTCTTTGCATTAGACTCGCCGTGCTCTGGATTTTCCATCCAAGTATTGTAGGATGGTTTTCTTTTTCTAAGACTTAAATGTGAAGACAATTTAGCCCTTGTTTGAGCCCTATTTTTCTAAAAATTCATTTTTTCAAAACTCATTTTCAACCAAACATTTTTCGATAAAATAATATTATACCCAATCTAAAACTTTTCCATAATTTTTAACCACACATTATCCATCAATCTACTATACTAAAATGCATTCTTTCCCCCAAAATGAGGCTCAAACAAGGGCTTAATGTAGCTTCTTTCTCCTAAATTTGAATTTTTTTTATTTTTATTTATTTTTGTTGTTGTTGTTGTTGTTGTTTTTGTTCAGAATGAATTCTGTTTTTCTGGTTTTAGAACGATCATTTAATTGGATTCATATCCTTATGTACTACGTAAATTTGAAATGACTGAATACTTAATGCAAATTTAATCATTAGTTCTTTGAAGTATGATTTGGTATAGTTTTTAGGACTTCTCCTTCTATATGAAGATGGATTCCTCATTTGACACTTATCGCAAAGAATGTCCAATATCTTTTTGACACTTGCCACAAAGAATGTCCAATATTTTTGGTGTTTGGTTAACATTGTTACATAAATCATGAATATTTACACAAAGTTTACATCACCATTGTGAACAAATTGTTATCATCCTTGATGTATAGTAAATGAAAGTGGGGGAGAAATCTTAGTAGTTATAAAACTCTTTGTTGTATGGGGGAGAAATCTTAGTAGTTATAACACACTTTGTTGTATACTTATATTCAACTTTGGGGGGAAGAGCAAACATAAACCATGACCAATCTGCTGTAGCTGTACACCCATATAAGGGGAAAAATTTATCCGGAAGTATAGACCATAATATTAAACTACTATTTAGATTAAAGTTTCAAAAGTTTGTGTACACTTTATTTAGATTGTTTAAAGACAAGTTATAAATTACTCTTTGATTATTCACATTCAAGCCATTTCTTGATGCTGCTGCTTTATTTCCTCTTCTTTGCAGTGTTCTTTGTTTTTTTTTTCAATATTAAAAAGGAGTTCATGGGGAAAATTATTTTCAAGAACAGGGATAGAGGACTTATATTTCCTTTTAGGGTGCTTTGTACTTTCAAATGTTCTCTCTTAGCATCTCTCTTCAATGTATATTTATCACTCGATTGCTGTTACAATGAGGTGCATCTTAGTTTCACCAAGTAATTTCTCTTAACAAAAAGTTCTTTAACTCGAATATGTGGTGGTTGGGTTGCTTTGGGCTAATGTGTTACTACTTGGCTCCGGTTAAATAATGTTTCATAATTTGCCTTTTACCCCTAATAAAGTTGTTGTCATTATTGTCAGCTACATTATTTTTGTTTCTTATTCTTCTCACCTCTTTGGTTTCTGGTGTTTTCAGGCTTAAATACAGCATTAGTGCTGTTGCTGACAAAGGTCTAAAAAAGCCGCTCTTTACATCTTCACGCTTAAAGAAGGGAGAAGTTCTATACTTAGAAACTCATTCCCGCAGGTAATGACTGGACCGAGAATTGATAAAAACAAAATTGTATTCACACAGACTTTTCCTTTTTTACAATTCTCTGTAAATTTCTCCATTTTCTTACTGTCATAGTGATGTTATATAAAAATTTTAAAATTTGTAAAAGCTATCTCCATAGGTACTTCCATAGCACAACACTGTAATGTTTCAGAATATTATCAATGTGTAGCTAAAGATAGTTGTCATAGGTTACATGGAGGGATCTGATATTGGGGTTTCACTTCTCTTCTTAATTACATTTTAGGATGCTTTGCAACATTGATACTTTTGGTTCAGGCTGTATCATTTTGGTGGATTAACTGGCAGGATCACCAACATGAAAAATCATCAACTATTCGCCATTTGTATCTTTTACACCTTTGTGTTTACTAAGTTATATCTTTAGGTATGAGCTTTGCTTTAATGGAGAAAAGACTGTGAAGGCTGTGGCATCATCTCAGGCATTAGGAGTAGAGAATGGGAGATCTCATTCCAGCTCGCATCTTAGCAATGGTGAAAGAAATGTGGCAGAAAGTGAAAGCACTGTGGTGGATGTATTCCGATGGTCTCGTTGTAAGAGACCTCTTCCACAAAAATTCATGCTCTCTATTGGAATCCCGCTCCCTCTTGAACACGTGGAGGTAATCCTTCCCAGCTGGTTTCTTCTGTGGCTGTGATATTACTTTTCTAAATGCTTTTTTCTTTTGCTTTGTTTTTGATTGAAGTTGAATGCATGATCACCAATAGAATCTGAGTTTACAGTGCCCTTGAATTGTTAGGAAAATATGAACGCGAGAACTTATTATTGTTTATGTCGAAGAGTTTGGATAAAGTATAATCCTTTGTAGAAATGATAAAGAGTATTCACCATGCATGATCTTCAGTCGCTGCTTTTACCGTGTGAGCATTGGAAATATATCACAGTGATTCTGTTTGCTTTCTGAAATTGTATTCCTATTGATGACGAATCTAGTTAAACCGAGACGTTATAATCTGTCTTCTGAGGTCTTGTGAGACACTATTGAGTGTTTTAGCTTTGTTGCTGCACATTGCTGAAAACTGTTTGGTGTGAAAAACCTAGAGCTAGTATAGTCGGATGTCTATCACTCAATAGCCTAGGGACTCCTCTTTTTTTCAATCTGCATCATAAGCAATACACCTCAGGAATGTTTTCTCAAGTTTTATTTTATGATTACTATTCTAGCCATATTGATCCAAGGGCGAACTCATCGCTTCTGAGCCCTTCAGAACACAAACTGACATTAACGTCAAAAAATAGAAGAAAAGAATGTTAATATTGATCTCTTGTTTATTTCGGTAAAATACGTGAGTTTAGAGTAGGTTTCTTTGTTTTTGCTGATTAATTTTTTCCGTGGGATGTCGACAGATTTTGGAGGAGAATATAGAATGGGATGAAATTGCATGGTCTCAAACCGGGGTTTGGATTGCTGGGAAAGAATATAATTTGGCGCGGGCACATTTTCTTTCCCCAAGCTAGAAATAGATTAGCTTCGTTTTGAAACAGGGTCTTCCTGAACTGTGTTGTATGAATATTGCCTTTTATCTTGTTTTTTTTTTATGGATTCGAAAACTCCTGCTTGTGGGGTATATTAGGCTGACTGTTGTGTTTAGAGTCGAACGTGTTGCTTAATTTGGAGTTTATTTATATAATTATTGTTGTGGTTTTATATGAGATTGCGTATGTGTATCACATATTCGTGCACACAGAGTGGTCTTTTTATCATTATGCTCAATTTATCTTGTAATGTAGCCATGTTATCTTGATACATTGTTGTTGAATACCTCGCACCTTACCGGATTTTTTTTTTTTTTTTGGGGAAAAAATGAGTTTTATAATGGTGATTTTTTGAAGAATATGTGGTTAGAAAGTAGTAAAAAATTGATGTTTACGTGCAAAATTATTTGTTAGGAAAATTTGATCGAAAATGGGACTAAAGTAAATTTGCACAAATAATTTCAAAAAACTAGCATGTTAGTATCCTAGGGCTCAAATAACTCAAGAAGATGTGGAACCTGGATGTGGGTCCATTCTCTAGTTCTCCTCATTACCAAGTGGAGGTAAAAAGCCAGGGGAACATATGCTAGTGGTGCTTGATGGGTTTGGCTAAGGGATATTTAGGGCCTATTTGGAGCTGCTTTTCAGGGAAAAAAGTGAAAATTACACAATTCCCTAAAAAAATTCACAATTCTAAATTCAGATGGGATGTTTCAATGTTTAAAAATCAAATGTTTTATTAGTAATTCTAATGTTAATACTGATATATATTATAAAATATTCACTCCCATAAATGAAATTCTAATACTCTCTCTCTCTCTTCCTCTCCCCATTCCCCTTTTCTCACACGATAACTTTCCAAAATCGTAGCTCCATCGAGAAGGAGGTCACTGTCGATGGTATTCCAATGCGAAGTGTCGTGCGTGGCGGTTGCACGACATTGTACGTCTAGATCTAAGTGGTGTTGCATTTTTCTTTTTTCTTTTTTTTTTTTGGTTGTGGGTGTGAGGGTGATTGGATGGTGGTGACGTGGTGGTGGTGGTGGAGGCGCTGTTGGTGTCGATGATGGTTGTGGCACCGAGTGGAGTGGAGTGGGATTGCGGGATGGTGGAGTTTGGGTTAGGTTGTGTTGGTGGCGACAGTAGTTGTGAGTTGCTGGCTGTGTTGGCGACGGTGGTGATAGTCGTTGTGGTGAGTTTTCGATTGTGGTAGCGGAGTAGGTTAGGGTGGGTGAGGTGAGGTAGTAATTTACTATGTTTGTGACCAATAAATTGGTTAAAAATTGTGACTGTGACTTACAATTGATTAAGTTGTGACCGAAAAATTAATTGTGACCAATTATAATAATCTAATAATTTGTAATTAATAAATGAGTTATGACTAATAAAAGTTTTGATTTTGTAACCAATGAATAATTTATGATCTATAAAAATTTTTATTCGTGATGAAAAGTAATGTGACTTATAAAAATTTTTATTTGTGACCGAGAAATAAGTTGTGAACAATAAATTAATAAGTTTTCACTAAAATTTAATCCGTGAATAAATAATTTTTTGATTTGCGACCGATGAACAAACTGTGATCTAATCGTAAAATAATATGTGACATAAAATTTCTAATAATTGACTAAAAAATAATAAGTGACTAAATAAATCGTTAATTTGTGACTAAATTGTACAGACCTGTTACCTAAATATATTTAATTAGTGAATGAATTAACTAGTATAACTAAATCATAAATAAATTTTAATAAAAATCTAATTTTTGAAGTTTGAAATTTATTTTCTTTATTTTGAAATGTGCAATACTTAAACTCTTATGAAATTTTCCCCAAAATAAATGACTTTTTGGACCGTTGCAAACCAAAACCACAACCAGCCATCCGGGTTGACTTTGGCTCACATGGGTCCCACCTGATAGTCTAACAGTCAAAAAGCGCACATAATTTTTGTGAAAAAGCTCCGCCAGACGAGCACTTAAGTTAAACTCTTTAGACCATGGAATCATGGATGCCTATTTCCATTCATTATTATTATTAATTATGAATGATGGAACCATTGATGGGCGGATTTTTATTTTATTTATTTTTTTTTTTTTGAGGG